TATATATATATATATATATATAGTATTCCCATATGTATTCTCTGTGGCTTTTGCTATAATTATTGTTTTTTTTCATCTTTCTTTAAGGGTTGCTAAGGACTGTTAAGCTTTTATCACCGTTTCTTGTGTTACGCATTGATTATAAAGCTTAGCCTAGAGCAGTTACATTAGCTATGCCCTTTTTTAACTTATTCTACAGTGCATCCATGTGAAAGGTCAAATGGTCACTGTGGGAGAACTACAGACAGGGTATCCTAATCTTTACAGCTCTTAACATTTTGTCTAAAAAAAAAACAATATTGACTCTGTAACAATGTTGCTATCACTCTGACAAATATGGATCCTTTATTTTCTGTGTTAGATGCCAATTTTATGTTGGCTTTGAATTAGTTTAGACAGCAGTCTGAAAACAGTGTAAGAAGCAAAATGAATGTTTTTCACTGCAAAGATTAACAAGAAAATAATTAGCCAGATGTGACAGCTTTTTCTCCATCTAGACTAACTTGTAACAGGTTACACAGCAGGGAAAGCCTCACCGCTGTGTAACCTGTCATGGACGGAGTGCTGCCTGTTAATTACAGCCGGTGCTGCATCCAGCTTTGCACAGCTAAGTTAGGTTACACAGCAGCGGGCTTCCCCACTGCTTGTGTAACCTAACATAGTGAGGCAAGAGCTTCAACAGCCTCTACTCTATGTTAGAGGCTTGAGCTCTGTGGATGGTTTGGGGCCAATGGCAAAGTGCCATTGGTCCAAGTTGTCAAATTAAAAAACAATAAAACATTGATCCCGATGCCTCACCAGTGACGAGCAAGTGAGGAACCTCCCTCCCTCCTCCCTCCCTCCTTCACACGTGGCTTGGTGACCGGGTTGGGGTTTTGGTGAACTAGTGGACACCAGTGAGGTAATACAGGCCACAATACTCACTCTATCCTAACCCCTCACTATGCTCCCTGCCTTCCTCAATTGAGGACTACTCAAATGTAACTAATACTAGAGCTCACTACTATATTTGTGAGTAATCCACTCTTCCTCAAATTTGTACCAACCCACAGGTGTAGGATTTCCACAGTTGAGATCCATTGGAAACATCAGAGTTGTTACATTGTTTGTTTGCTTATCTATGTTTCTCTTAAATGTATAATATTGTTGACATACTATTGGCATTTTATCATATTCTCTTTAGTTACTAAGATGTGATCATAGGCCAACCACCTAGAGTTTTTCCAATGTATGACTATTTTCAAAACCATAACATTTCTTCTTTATAATAAATATGACTCTGTACTTTGAACTTCAGTTGCTAGTCTTATAACGTGTGCTTATGTATCACTATAATATTCTGCCCAAAGAAACAGTGTGTATGTTCAATAGCTGAATTATGAATCTTCCACTTTTTCTTGCTAGAATCATTATTGATTTTACTATTATTGAACACTACAATTTTATAAGTAGGCAATTGAGTAAATATTACTGTTTTTAGGCCGTAACACCTTAGACACTGCGTGCAGTAACACTAATGACTGAAGAGTGAAAAAAATCAAGAACAAGTGTCAAAGATAGCTTTACCTATTTGTTTTTCTGCCTCTAGATGAGCTATATGTTTTATGTATTAGAATAAAGGTCAAATGCAATTGCTAACATAAAGAAAGTTGGTTCACAGTACAATTATATGCCTCTAGAAATTAGAATTAAGGAAATTGGAAAGGGGGGTGGGAGAGAGATAAAATAATAATGTTTACTGTAACTTTACCCTAGGTTGGGTTAAAATGGCAACCCTAAGACTTTATTATTCGAGCAATGCCCCTGAATGTTGGATTCTACCTCTTACTACTAGTTATACTTTGCATGTGCTCTACTATAATATACAATAGATTTTTTAACACAATTATATTAATTAAAGTGACTCTGCCATTGAAATAAAAACTTTAAAATAAATCCAGCCTGTAAAGCAAATACTTACCCATCTTATGATCTTCACTCTTAAAGAGCCAAGCTTTCTGAGTAATCTTTTGGATGTGTCAGATGCCTGGTTCCCCCTGCACTCTAGTTTCATACACCAGTCCCTAAACCACTACGGGACACAATATTGAAGTAGGGGCTGATTGAACCACAGCATTGTGCACAACAATTTTGGAAGTATTGATTGCAGAAAATACTTTAGCCGCTGTAATTTATCAAGACAGTGATTATCAATGGTGTGAGTGTTGGAAGAGGTATTACATCGCTTCTTTACAGGCTGGGCTTATTCAAATTTTACTCAATTGACAGAGGCTTTTTAAAATATTTTAAAAATATGTTTTCAATTAAAGACACTTTGTTTAAAAGAATATTTCAGAAATGCTGGCATAGATAAAGACTTACCTTGACATCATTAATTTTCATTCTGGTTCCTTCTTTACCCACAAAAATGTCATCAATGTCCACAAGAATGTATCTATCCAATGACAAGGTAAACTTCTTTTCAGAAAGAAAAGATATAGCATCTACAAAAATGAGTTTGTGTAGCCAAAAGTTCAAATTATTGCCAAAGAACATCCTTTGAATGCCATCATGAAGCCCCAAATCATGAATGACTGTGGCAAATAAGGACATTTTAGACAACTGAGGTGGGTCACCAACAGGCATTTTAATTTTTGTAAAAACTATGGGTTGAAAAAATGAGTGGTTAACCTCAAACACTGTCCAATCATTTTCAAGCATAGGCCCTCTAAGTGTTTTTGAAGATTTTGTTATATGAAGTAAGGGTGTGGTAGGATTAATACAAAAATTCTTGACAGCCATGTTGCTGTGGATCATAAATGGGAAGCCCTTTAAGTGAAATAATTGAATGTTGCTCTCCGTGCCTTTGAGGAATCCAATGATACTGACACCATATTGAAGGCAGTACTTGTCCAGAAGTTCCTTGTTCCATGTGTCCATGTTAATATATTTCATAAAGTTTTCATATATAATAAGTGCATATTTTCCAATGTGATTATCTGTTAGTGGTAGCAGGTCTCCTTTTCCAGGAGCTATTTCTGCATGGAGTTTAAACCTGCTGGATTCTAGAATTCCAATAATGTCCTGACCAAGTTGGGAATACTGACTCTCTATAAAAACCAAGATAACAGACTCAGTTGATAAAGAAACTGATGGCTTTCCACTTCTGTGTTCCAAAAAGTTATAAGGTAAAGATTCGATATCTCCACATGCAATTTCCATTGATACTTCAGATATTTCATTGTCTTGTTTATAGCCAGTATACAGGTAATATGCAGAAATGGCAATGCTTACCATGCAAAAAGTGGCAAGCAGGAGAATTGTTCTTTGAAAATGTCTGTGAAATTTCATGATATAACTCATGCTGAGCTAATTGTTGTACAGAAGTGTCAGTGAACAAATAGGACTTATTATTTCACTCCAGTCCAGCCAGATGATTTATGTAACCATTGCAGCACATCTGTCGCTTTCCAAAACACTTCAGAGAATTTGAAAACTAGAAGAAAGAGGAAAAAAATATTTTTATTTACATCGTGTTTCTTTTTATATGCTGCTTGTGACATAATTCATTTTGGAAAACAGCTGTCAGCCTGTAAATTTATGAAACACGTATGCTAGGGCACATGACAGAAACACTAAACTCTGAAAAGTGTATAATTAAAAGCATATGCAAGCTACTTACAGTCATAAATAGTTATATTGCATGTCATATAGCAGCTGAAAAGTCCCCATTAAAGAGGTTCTCTGCTTTCAGTTTGTCAGTGGCAAACATTTCTCAGATGACAGTCAAGAAGTAAGTACAGCCATAGCAGACTAGGGGAACCAGTACTGGCTGGCCACATAATCATGTATCCCTACAGGAATAACATTTGGCAGATAATTTAGACAACATGTATATTAACGTATGCACTGTTCAGGAATGTCTATTGTGGGACAAAATAGGATTTTTGTACTTACTGTAAAAAACATTTTTTGGAGTTCACTGGGGGACAGTGGAATTCAGAGACTGTTTGGTTTTCATTATATGTTTTGCCTGAGGAAGGGACTTTGTTTTTCCGAAACATCGCTCTGATGATGTGACACCTGTGAAGTCAATAAACATTGACTTTTCTACATGCTGGAGTGCTTGTGACCTTTTTTTGTATTTTTTTGTACTTATTTTGCAGAGGCATCCGTGGTCATTTCAGCACCCGCCCTATAATTAGGGTTTTCTATCCGGTCAGGAGTGTGATGGGTGTGTATGTTTTTTGTTGGGTTATACTGTCACCTACAAGAGGATTTGGACACTTGCAAACAAAACAATTGTGCCCAGCCCAGTAAAACCCCTGCAACTCCCAGCATGTCTCAGCTTTGTGGAAAAGCAGTACCAAGAGCATGCTCAAAAACACAGATGGGTGGGACATGTGTCCCTCAATGAACTCCAAGAAATGGACTTTATGATAAGTACAAAAATACAATTTTCTTTCTCGTTTATTGAGGGACAAAGGAATTCTGAGACTGTTGTGATGTGCAAAAGCAGTCCAACTAAGGAGTGGGCAACAGCAGAAAAACACTAACATGTCCATGTACGACAGCTAATTCGCCTACAGCGGAAGGTTGTCCAGAACTACTCCCCAGTCTGACAAATTGGCATCTGTCATGAGGATCTTCCTTCAAATTGGAAGGAAGAACTTCCCTAGTTCCAGAGCAGGATTCCAGGGCCACCAGGTGAGGAAAAACCTGTTTAGTGTCGGGCACATTGGTATGTGCCAGGACTAGACCAACTTGTCTCACAATGACAGAGTGTTATGTTGTAGCGGTATGGAGTGGAATTGGGCAAATAACATTGCCTCGAATGAGGCTACCATCAGCTCCAGAACCCTCATCCAAAAGTGAAGAGTTTGGTGACTCCTGCACCAAGTCAGAGTCTAAGAGCATAGATTTAAATGTTTTTCCTGGTAAAGACAATTCTGTTTGAGCTGTATTTAGGATGAGGCCTAGATGTTCCAAATGATGTGTCAGTTCCAGAGATTACTTATGAAGGTTTAGAACAAGCTGAAGGTTCACAAAGTCTGGATGATTTGTTGAATAAGGTTGGAGTAGGACCTCTGGAACGACTTCGCCACAAGTACTGTGGCAGTGACACCCTGCTTCAGAAGATCCACAAGGCTTGCATGGAGATCTGCTAAACTGTGGTGATACAGCAGATTGAAGGTCATGAACTGAGAAGGGGGATTAGAGCAGAATTCTATCTTGTAGCCCCTGGAAACTACCTCCCTTGCCCAAGTACAGTATTTTAGATGCTGGCTGTCCAAAGTCCACAAAGGCTTACAGACTACCTCCTAATGCTGAGGAAGATTTATCTGTTGGTTTGGTGGACGTGAAAGTCCAGGGCTTGATCTGGATCCACATTGGGGGGCAGTCTATTTTTTTTAACAAAGTCCTCTGTAGACTGATAGAGGGCTGCCACCTGTTTGAGATGATTAACCTCCCTGGCGGTAATCCCGAGTCTGGCTCGGGTTGAATTTTGTAATGATAGGAGCGGTAAGCCCGAGCCAGACTCGGGGCTGCAGAGAAAAGTGACTCACCTTGTCCCTGCGATCCCGCGGCATCCTCTGCTGTACGCGGCCCGAAAATGAAACTGAAAGCCCGAATCTGACTTTTAGTTTCGTTTTTTAATTACAGGCCTACAACAGATAACACCAAATTTCCATGCAAAACAATGTACCGCTTTTGGTACAAAATTCCTGACATAATCATACCGCCAGGGAGGTTAAACAGCTTGTCAGGATTCTTTCAGTATCCATAAAAGACGGCTGGAAACAGTGGGTGCACTGCGAAGGCCTTTGCCATTTTGGGGACCCTAAAAGAGCCTAGATGAGGGACAGCACGGGTAGAAACTTCAGGTTGATCCTTGAGTTTTAAAGTAATGACAACCATGTCAATAACAGCAAAGATGGACTCTTTAAGTCTGGCAGTAATAGCAAAAGTCTGCTAATTCTCAGGTGTAGCATGGTCTGTTAAGGACTTTAAAGACTCAACATTGTACAGATTCTTGGCAGCTGTATTCTCAGAGGCTGCTAATACCACAGGCAGATTGGATAAGGATTCTGCTGCAAAAGGGGTGGAAGCACACTTATGGTCCCCATGTATCTAAGAACTGACATGTTGAACCGCAAGTAGAGGCAATGTAGCTTAGAGTACAAGGCTAGGCCTTGAATACGTATGAACCGGCTGCTGGCAGCAGAAGCTATTTAGGTGACTGGAGTTGATCAAATCACTGTAGACAAGCAGCAGAGATTAAATGCAGATAGGGAGATTAAATAAAGAAAAGATATAAAATGAAGAGGGTGTGCACATGTGATACTTCACCCAGATGTTAGTGCTAGAGCTTACTGTATTAGTACAGTAATTAAGTAATCTCTGAAGGAGGGGGTTTAACCCTTGAAATGTATTAGCTCTGTCTAACATCACATGCTGGAGGGTCTCTTCATCTTCTCTGTTCTGTACATGGGTTATTTATTACAGGATTGTTTGCTGATGTTATGTGGACTGAACATGTGAGTAGAATGGACATCTGATTTATACATTCTGTTTTAGTAAATGGTACCACACAGGGATAAGGTGCTGTTTCTTTTATCTTTTTTCATTTACCGGAGGATTTCCCTATCCGTGTCTGATCAGCTGCCCTTCATGATGTAAACACATGCTAATGAAGATACCATTCAGCATCTCTGGTGGCCATAATCACTGCTGATGTTGTGGTTAGAGGCTACACAGAGCAGAGAAAAGACTTCCATCCTCCTGGACACTGCAAACAACTAAAGCATGCTGGGAATAGGAGGGGTTATATTGGGCTGCCCCTCATATGAACAAGAAAAACACTGGATCCTTATTTAAAATAAACATCTGAGAATCTGGAGACCTTATAATGATTTGTTTTGCAGCTTCATCCTTTAGAGGTATGTTCTGCTTAGTTTGTTTTAAAGAAACCAAACTCTTTATAGCATTTATGATTTTGTGAGAAGCCCAAAATAACACAAAACAAGAACAAACAACTTCACTGTTTTTAGTCTAAGTTTGATGTTATCTGATTCTTCATGTTAATTAGTGTCTCTCTGTACTCCTTCCCAAAACAGTTAGATCCTGTTGCAAGCACTTTTGTGTTACCCATCAGAGTAATGTTATGCTGCTTTTCACAGTTGTTCGAATGTATTTTCCTCTGCATTTTCTAAGGAACACCTCTACCCTGTTCAGGAGTGTTCCTAGCCATAATGTCTCCTAAGACACTACTCAAAGTCTCTGGTGATAAGCTTCGCTCTTAAAGAGAAGCTTGTAAGCATTTCAACTTTTAGTATTAGGGAACACATCCCCACCCCTTACACACACAGACACACACACACCAAAGCAGATTGTTGGGGGTATATCCTGACTTCCTGAGAAGTGAGAAGTTAGAGCTTCTGAACTTGCTGTCAATAACTTGCTTTCACAGTGTATACCATACCCTTAATTTCTTGTATGGGAGTCACAAGGACAAGAAGCAAGAAATAAATCTTAAAAATTAAGGGGTCTATTCACAAAGCTGCCGCAGGATCTAGCTGTAGCTTTGGCTGATCCATCAGCTAGCTTTGGCCCCATTTCCCCTTTGGTTCGGTAGAATCGAAGGGCTGCTCTACGGGCTATACACTATAGCCCGTACAGCTCCTGAAGTTGGCCGAGCGGCTCAGTTGAGCAGAATGCATATGCCTCGGCTCGACTGACCGGCCGACAGCCTGCTACTGTCAGCTGGGCGGAGCCAGCCGTCATCTCACGGCTGGCTAAGGCCACTTGCAAAGACAGATCAGCGTCCCTGGTTAACAGTCAACCAGGGACGCTGATCTGTCATTATTATTCACACGGCTGGCCTCGGCAGTTTTGTGAATAACCCCATAAGTCAAAGACAGAACTAAAAACCTCACATCAATTTTAGGTTTAAGTTTTCCTAACCCTATGGAAAAAAGACAAAGAATTATGGAGTTAAAGATAAATAAAGAAAAACAGTCAATTCAGGTATGTGTTCATTCAAAAATTATGAGTTGTATTTTAAAAAGTAACTAGTGTAAACCTGAACTTAACTTGGTATCATCCTCATGACTGAAGCTCAGAATGGAAGAGGAAGAAGCAGCAAAAGGAGCCAATCAGCTGTACTGCAGTTCTCATGTGCTAGCAAGAGACATGCTGATAGCAGGAAAGAGTGAAATTAGAATGAGCTAGAGTATATAGATGATTCATTTAAAGTGGACTATTTGGATAGTTTTGCTATTTCCTGTACAATATATATTTGGTGGTTTTATCCATACTCTTTATGTTTAAGAATATATTGTATATGTAGTTTTAAATACTAAAAATGTTTTTTCTTTATGGCATCTGCATTTATCAATGTAACAGGAATCTATTGTATCTAAAATTCATAGTAATCAACAATTATTTATGAATCAGAAACATACTGAAAGGACTATACTTACACATTTAAAAAAA